GTGCTAAACTGTGAAGTTTGTCAGAGGAATAAGTATCAGGCTTTGAAGCCTGCAAGTTTACTGCAGCCTTTGCCCATTCCAGAGCAGATATGGACTGACATTAGCATGGATTTCATTGGAGGACTACCCTAAGCTCAAGGAAAGGACACTGTGTTGGTGGTGGTGGATAGGTTGACAAAATTTGCACACTTCATACCTCTATCCCATCCTTACAATGCAAAAGGAGTGGCCGAAGTGTTTATCAAGGAAGTGGTGAGACTCCATGGATTCCCAAAATCTATAGTGAGTGACAGAGAGCATCTTCCTAAGTTCGTTTTGGTTAGAATTATTCAGGTTGGCTGGGACACAACTGAAATATAGCACAGCTTATCATCCTCAGTCTGATGGGCAAACTGAAGTTGTCAACAGGTGCTTAGAGACCAATTTGAGATGTCTCACTGGGAAGAAATCAAGAGAATGGATTAAATGGCTACCATGGGCTGAATATTGGTATAATACCTATTATCATATATCTTTAAAATAGACTCCTTATCAGGCTTTATATGGGCAAGAGCCCCTTGCAGTAGTAAAAGGGGATGTGACTCTGACTGCTAATGATGAGGTGGCAAGATTAACTGCAGAGAGGAATGGAATGTTAGCTGAAATAAAGGAACATCTGGCCATTGCTCAAAACAAGATGAAACAGCAAGCTGACAAACACAGGAGAGAAATGAAGGTGGAAGTGGGTGACAGGGTATTTCTGAAGATTCAGCCCTACAAACTGCAAAGTTTGGCAAGGAGGACCAATCAGAAACTGAGTCCTAGATTTTATGGACCCTTTGAAGTTGTGGAGAAGATAAATGATGTAGCTTTTAAGCTAAAATTACCAGATCAGTGTTTGGTGCACCCTGTTTTCCATATCTCTTTACTCAAGAAAGCTTTAAGCTCCAACACTTCCTGCCAACCTCTACCCCAGTGTTTAAATGAGAATTGGGAACTACAGGTGATTCCTGAAAAAGTGGTTGATATAAAGAAGAGCCAGGGGGTGAAACAGAAGTATTGATCCAGTGGAAAGATCTTCCGGACTTTGAAAATTCTTGGGAGAATGTAGAGGTGATGAAGACACAATTCCCAGACTTTAAGCTTGAGGACAAGCTTATTCTTCAGCCGGGGAGTATTGATAGAGACTCGACTATTAATACTAATAATAGATTTGGCCAAGTTTATTCTAGAAGAAAGTAGTAGTTAGTTATTATTAGTGCTGTCCGTTCTTAATAATAACTACCTTCAGCTGTGACTGAAAGGATATAAATAGAATAAACTTAGGCGGGAGGGGCAGGCTGTTTGATGCTTTGGCATTGGGACTGGGAAGATTAGAGAATAGTTCTCTTCTCTTTGGGACTGGATTGTACGGTATACCTCCATTAATGAAACTTACTGTTTTCTGAAGCTAGCTTTACTGTTCATTCCTCTTGTATTACTGCGCTACTCTATCAATTGAGTATCTTTAGGAAAAATTGAGATGTACCCCTCCCCAGTCCGTGTCTGCTTGCCTCTGGGCAGCCGTTTAAAGCAATTGCCCTTAAACCGTGAGTCAAAACGAGCCACCAATACCTATGTAAGCTCATCCCATGACATGACCGGCTTTCGTGCCCGTAACCAGGTCAACCAATATAAGGCTGGCCCTTCCATCGCAACTACAACGGCTACCACCTTCTTTCCCGGCGGAGTACAATTCAATTCGAACTGTTGCTCAGCCCTATCAACCCAGCTGATCAGTTCTTCTCCGTTAAACGAGGGCAACATCGTGAGAAAGGTGTTGCACAGTCCAATTCCGAACGAGGATGCTGCTGCCGCGTCAAGTGAAGCCACCGCCGTTGAATGTTCCTCCACCACTGGCGGCGCAAGAGCCTCTGTAAACGCAGCCAAGGAGGAAGTGACACTGCACGGATGTCTGTCGCTGCTGTGCGGAGATACGGTGGGGTTGCCAACCGCGTCCAGGCTTGTTTCCATCGTGACCGGAGGAATTAATGCCTTGGTAAGCACTGTCAGGGATGCGGCAATCTCTGCCAGACGCATGACGTGCTCCTCTAGAGTTTGATTCATCCGAGTTTGCTTGGCGACCATCTCTGTCAAGCGGACGATCTGAGATCTCATCATCCTGGCGGGACAGGATCCGACAGGTCGGACCAATTGTTGTGTAACAGAAAACTAAAATCAACGGGGTAAACCGTTGCCCAGGTAATCAACGATAAAAATACCGTTGCTTAGACCCAAAAGGCTAAAACCAATTTTATTTCAAGATACGATAGAATGAACCCTGGCAAGGGGTATAAATAGCCTTCTAAGAGAAACCCTAATCAAGCCCAAATTAATTAAATCCTAATTAAGCCCATAATAACTCTACTAAGTACTCTACTAATAATAGGCCCAAAGTAAAACATAGCATTAACTTAATAATAATAAATAAACTCTAATGACAGCCCTAACCCGGCCCACGGAAGTGGGCCCAAGCCCGGTCCCACCCCATGCTCTTCCCGCTCTCTATCAAATTAGCAACAAACCGCCAATGCTTATTCCCCTATTAAAAATAAAGGTGATTTACAAGAATGTGCCAACTATCGAGGGATTAAGCTAATGAGTCACCATGAAACTTTGGGAGTGAGTAATTGAGCAAAGGCTCCGAAGAAGCTTGATGATTTTGGGGAATCAATTTGGTTTTATGTCTGGTCGCTCAACAAATGAGGTCATTCACCTTCTTAGGAAACTTGTGGAAAAGTATAAAAACATTAACAAGGATCTACATTTGGTGTTCATTGACTTAATAAAAAAGCATATAATAGGGTACCTCGAGAAGTCTTTTGATGGGCCTTAACAAGAAAATATATCGACATCATGGATATGTATGAGGATTGTACTACAAGTGTTTGTACTACTGTAGGAGGACATCAAATTTCCCTATTACTATTGGAGTGCACCAAGGATCGGCTGTAAGTCCTTTCTTATTTGCTATAGTCATGTCGTCATGGATGAACTTACGAAGTCAATTCAAGACGATATTGTATTGATTGAAGAGACACAATCAAGTGTTAAAACAAAGTCGGAAGTATGGTGACAAGTATTGGAGAACAAGGATTTCAACTCGAGTAGAAGCAAGACTGAGTATATGGAGTGCAAGTTTGGCGGAGGTAGAAGCAATGGTAACAGTGGGATTACCTTAAATGGTATGGAAATAATGGTCAGTTATTGTTCAATTATTTGGGCTTCACGACTCAGAAGGGTGGTGAACTAAATGGAGATGTATTCCATGGAATCAGAACAAAGTGGATGAAATGGAAGAGTGTGTCAGGACTTCTATGTGATCGAGGTATGTTGACTTAACTAAAGGGTAAATTTTATCAAACAACAATTAGGTCTGCATTCCTGTATAGCGTAAAGTGTTGGGTGGTGAAACAATGTCACTGATACACTCCAGTAGGTAAAAGGCTGAAAGTGCATACGCGGAGCGGACTGGAGGCACATTATCATTATTATTATTATTTTATTCTTACTATTATTATTATTATAATTATTACTACTACTATTATTATTTATGTCTGCAGTAATTAGTGTTGGTTAATGTGGCAGTGGGTAGTTACTCCTAAGGCAACTAGTAGGGCACTAGGCATGTTGTTGGCAGTTAAAGTTTATGGATGTTATTTCCTTACGTTAAGCATTTGTAACTAACCTTCCTCTATTTAAGAGAAGGTTTATTTTCAATAGTGGAATATCAGAAAAAGTTTGTCAATAGTTAGAATCAGGGAGTTGGAGAATTCTCAACAAAAAATCCCATCTTCTTATTCCCCCATTCCACACGATATTCACACTACACGACTGCGGGTTGCAGCATATATATGCCAGCAAGCAACACTATCAATCAGACCCCGAGCAAACTTCTGTCTCCTATTCCGGTCCCGTGACGCGATCCCAAACCCGGGCACATAACAGTCACATGCAAAGGACGAGTGTGGCAGAGATGCAAATGTTGCATTGGATGTGTGAACACACTATAAAAGACCACTTGAAAAATGAGACGCTCAGACAAAAGATGGGAGCAACACCTATTGAAGGTAAGATGTGGGAGTCTTGGTTGCAGTGATTTGGTCATGTGCGAAAAAGACCGAGTAATGCATCTCTTAGACGAGTTGAAAGGTGTGGAGAAGAGATGGGGAGGAGAGGGGGATGAAGACTGAAACAAGCATGGATTAAAGGAGTCGGGAGTGTTATGCGTCTTCTTGAATTAGATGAGAGTATGGCTTTAGACAGAGCAAAGTGAAGAGCGAGTATTCGTGCCCTTTATCTTCTTTATCTTTCTTATGTTCTTATCTTTCTATCTTTTTAATTTCTTTCTATCTTTATATATATATATATATATATATATATATATATATATATATATTCTTCTATCCTTTTTATCTCATCACTTTTATGTATACTGCATCTCTATTTTATCGTCTTTTTCATTTTTTTCATACATATCTTTTTATCTTTTTGTCTTTTTTTCCTTTTGGCTCCTATATCATGTATCGATTTGTGTTACCCGGCCTCAAAATCTTTTGGGACTAAGCCTTGGATGATGTTGTTGTACATTCACAAAGAAATAAATATATTAGAAGTTTGTTTGTCATGTGAGAATTCATACACGTAAGTTCCATATTTTCTTTTCAGTCCATCTCCCCATCAATCTCCATTGAAAAAATGACATTATCGGGCTTTTCTACATCCTTTTAAAAAATGTAGAAATTGAAGTTTAAAAATGATGAGTCATCAATTTTTCAAAAACGCCTGCTGATGGAGAACGCTGGAAAAGATAAAAGGACGTAAATTATATGGATGAATGAATAAGAAACAATTTTCCACAACAATCCAAAATCGAAGTGATATATATTTGAAGAAACAAAAACCACATTTAAGCAAGCCGAAATGCAATGATTGTTACTCTCCTAAAAAGCTACAAGCATGGTTGGTTGAGTTTCGATTACCGAATAGCCATGCTTTCCATCTTTATTTCCTCGCTCAACTTGCAGCGTTCCCCTTAAGCCCACAACTCGCCACACTACCTAATACACAAGAAGCCAATAGATTTACTATCGGCAGAATACAAATTTCGTCTCTAAAGCATAATTGCACAGGAAAGGTGAGGCAACTTTACGTGCCTTTGGTGATCTTGACGAAACAACCATCACAAACACTCCAGAACATCCATTCTCCAGTTGGCTGGGGAACGTAAGCAAACCCGCCTTCATTAGTTAATGCCGCATATTTTCAAAACTAGAGTAGCTAGAGATTAAGAGCCCGTTTGGAAACTACTTATTTTGCCTTATACAACCAATTTTTATACCACACTCTAACTTATACTAATGCACTGGTTGAACTGGATAAAGCCAGGAAGTGTTTTTAATAAATATGTTCTAAATAGTTTTTTAGATAATTCAGCAAATTCAGTCATATTAGACACAACTTTGGAAGATCCACCTGATTAAGCCATTCTAGTCATTACCAAACGGGAGCTTAAGTTTAAAGAACTCACAATAATGCAGAAACATTATCGGGCGGAGGCAAGGCCGTATCTACATGAGATGTCATAGCAGAGACGGAAGCTATCTCACACCCAAGAAGCTGTGCAGCATCAAGCATATCAAAAAAAGAAATCGGTGTCATATAAGGACAGGCAAAGAAATGTCAAAATACATGAGACAAGCTCAACAAGTCAACAGTAAGAAAGACAGCCGTGAGAGTGGTTTTTTTGTTCAAAAGTAATACCTTTGAGCATATATTAGTACTTCTGTGATCTATAATTACAACATACGAATGCAGACGAATGTAACACATTTAGTTACATTTAAAATGCAGTTACTTTTTTTAATCCAAAAAGCACTACTGCCTTGGGCGGGAGAAACACTTGAAAGTCTCACACAAGGTTTGTAAAAAAGAAAACAATATCCTCCCGGGCTCACAAAGGTAGGCTATTATGTAATTCTACGTGGATAAAGAACAGATAGTTAGATTAGTTGTAATACTTATTACTTAATTGTATAATCAGTTCTCTTTTTTTGCTTTTCTTTTGTAAGGTTAATTAATGAAGTTTTGGAAATGAGAAGTTACCTAATTGTATCAATGATGGAAATGGACAAATAAATGCACAGAATAAAAAGTTCTCTAGCAGAAAACCTAAGAATACCCCATCAAATTATGAATATAAAAAATATGAAGGAAAATTGTATGTAGACTAAATACAAAAAGAAAGACAAAGACAACTACCATTCTTAATCCAGCAACGTAATGCACAGCCATGTCTAGAATGAAACCACCCTGGGATAGAAAAAATTGAGTTCAAAATTGTCAGAATAGACAGAAGAACTATCCTTCAAAAAATAGAATACCAAAATTTGATTTTAAGGTCCACAATATATATGCCTAAAAGTTGCAAAAGTGTTTGTTTGATAAAAAAGAAACTTCTCATTGTCTTGAAAAGTTGGTATGGCAATCACGGGTACCTTTAACTCTATAAGTAGACAAATTCCAAAATACACACTGCCTCCACTCCAATAGTCCAATATAAAGTTCGCTGTATCCTTTTTATGTTGTCTCACAATAAACTTCACTTTCATTTTAGGGAAAGAATTGTGTGATTCACATTTTCCCTATATCTTTATATTTGATAAAGACTTCAGGGTCCGGAACCGGCCGGATTAAGAAACCAAATCCGTATTGTTTTCCGGTTCCAGAAGCATCAGGTAAAGAAACCGAAGTGGTACCCTTTTCCCAGTCCAAACCATTTTCGTTTCTCCACGATAGGACCAGAACCGACCGGTTGCGGTTCTGCTTTTTTTATTAGGCTAAAAAACGTAAGCGGGAGAATTAACCCGGTTAAGGTTCCGGTTTTACTCCTACCCTTACCCTAAACTGGGCTGGGTCCACCACTTAATAATTGAGATAGAGGTATATTACTAAAGGGACACTGACAAAGAAGTTGCGCCTCCAAGAGCTTGAGAAGTAAGGGTTCGAGCTATTCATTGACCCTTCAACAATAACTTGAACATTCATCATATCCCCTATTTCAGCAATCATTTTATTGCTCTGCAAAATTTATAGATTATGTATCACACAGATAACTGACAGAGAATAATGAATTGATGACTCCAGGTGCTTGGAAAACACAGACACCTCAGTGAAAGCAGGTTCAAAACGATAATTCTCTGCAACAGCCCATATCGGTTCTTGAGTCATGATTGTAGCAAGAGAATTATAGTGCATTCGTGCATTTTCTGCCTCTGCAATGCCTAATATATACAAGTAGTAAAAAATATCATGCATGTGAATGAATGAAATCGTGAAACATACTCCATTATTAGATCCAATTATCAGAATGGCACACCAATTCACTCACAGAGAGTACTTCAAACTAAGACACGATGACCCAATATCCAATAAATTTTGATACTTGTGAATCGGAAAAAACAAAGAAATAAAAAATTATTATAATTAATAATCCAATTGATCCAACTACATTGTTTCAACTAACTTCTCCAACAATTTTGTATCATAGATTACTTATAATGTAGATGCAAATGCACAAATAGACCAGATCTGAGTGGCTCCAAGCCTAGCATGGCCTACCTAGCTCCACCAGTGAACGAGACATAAGATTAGACATAACGAAAAGACTAACTGCGTAAAATCTCACCAATAGCTATTCAGAAAAAACATATTGTGATCACATACAGACATACTATCCTCCGTTTCTTTTTACACTATTCACATGCTCTACTTTGACTACATTTTATTTATTAATGTATGAGAAATATTTTTTTGAAAAATATTCTTGAATTCATCTCGTTACAAATGTTCATAATCTGATTTTTAAATTTTTTTTTGCTAATAGAGAATTAAATATAATGACGGTCAAAGTTGTGCATTGTCAAGCATGAGAATTAGAATGTTGAGAATGTTGCAACTAAAAAAGAACGGAGGAAGTATTAATGAATCATTGAAAAAACTTACAAGCAGCAGCAGGCTTCTCTTTGTAATTAGAATTTCACCAAGCAACATGAAGCATGCAAAAGAACAAAAGAAGTGAACCATTAGTTGTCTGAAGATGACAGAGAGAGAGAGAGATAGGTCATAATTTTTACCAAGGCATATATGGTATAGACTCCTAATTCTTAAAAAAAACTTGGTCAAGTTATTAAGATTTATCACAACAGGAAAACTACATTTATCATATTTAGACTTGCAATTTACCTTGTAGGACATGTTTGCCTCCTTTTAGAAGTCTCAATGACATCTCCACCTGAAAGAAACTGACCTAATTAGATATTGTATCACATTATTTGGGAAATGCTGGGGAATCAAAATATATGAACTATTTGCATATTGGAAGTTTAATTGGAAGAGGAGTCTATCCTAATGCTATTTTATATTTAATTTATTTATTTATTTATCATTTCCTATTAGTAATAGAGTATTTAGAGGTTACAATTTTAGTTAGACTAGAACTCTATCATGTAAAGGCAGGATGCCTATTTATATTCTTTTTCAGCCTTAATAAAATCATCGATCATTAGAATTTATTCATCTCATCTTCCATGTCTCCCTTCTCCGTTGCGCCATTACTATTCATGCAACTTCTTCCACCCTGCCACCACTGAGCTCGGATGGGGCTCCATTGCTCCAGTCCATGTTGGTTCTTGATACGCGCACCATCATGCAGGGGAACCAGCCTTGCCAGCAAGTGCTCATCCACTGGCGCCATTTACCACCTGAAGAAGCCACCTAGGAAGATCTCAACATCATTCACAATCAATTTCCTGCTTTTGACCTTGGGGACAAGGTCAATCTTGCAGGCAGGGGTATTGATATGCCATCACCATGACATAGCACAAGTTAAATCCCAGGTTTTACAACAAGAGCACTTATGTTAATTGTCTACATGCATGGATGGATAGCGCTGGGAACTAATGCATGCGAAGACCAACACAAGACTTAGAATAAATTATTAGTTGCAATTATTATTATTTTCCCTTTGTTAGTTGTTATTAGTGGGGTTATTCACCTATTATTATGGCTATCAATAAGGGGTGTACAGGTGGTTCTATTCATCTCCAACACCCACTAGATCCACTACTATTTACAATTGGAGTTGTATAAAACAGGGTCATGCTCTTGTAAAAGACATGAATGAGAATTCCTTTTCTTCTTGTCACCATTCTGAACCCCTTCTCCCTGCTCTTCTGTGGTCTTCTTACTCCCGGGTTGTCAAGGAGTTTTATGAAACCGATAATGTCATATTAATGGTTTCAAGATGGCATTTTTTACTCCTATTTAAGGGAAAATACTCCTATTTTGGAATATCACATTGCTTTTCATCCTAATTTAGGAAGTTTCCCAAAAAAATTAAGAACAAAGTCGCTCTATGAAAATCTTCCAAATTAGAGGAATTAGATTTGAGGAGGCTGATTTGAAATTAGCACTCCTTCCTTCAAACAAGAACACATGAAGCGGTGGAAACAGGTAGATCGAATTGGAAATGATTCTTATAACAATAACACTTGTATGCCAACATCAACTCTACAACGAAATTACGTCTAGGAACCTGAATCTGTCCAGCAAGAACAACAGCAACTCCAAGGATGGAAGCATCATTGATAATGTCATCAAGACCAGCATCTCCCCACTTACATTCCACACAAGGAAAATGCTCTTTTGCTAGCTCAACAGCACTTCGAGCCGACTCCTGAAACAGAAACGCCGGAATTGCAATTTTGATCTAAACCCGAAAATAAAATTGTTCGAGAAAACATCGGAATACCTCAGTGCGGCTCCAAATGGCTTTAAGGACGAAAAGGTGAGAGATCTCAGCTAATCTGGGAATGTATTGGGTTTTGACGAAGATGCCAGCTCCAAGAATGGCTATCTGAGGAAGTTTAGGATCAGTCATTTGGAGGGTTAATTTACTGGATCTGTTGGAATGGCCTCCTCATCACAGAGTAACACTAAGCATCGCAAATTATAGGACACAGCAAATTAAGCCTGGAAAATTTTACAAATAAGACAATCTTATGATGTTTCCAAAATTAAGACTCCAAGTGCGGCTGTTTTGACTACTATACCCTTGTATTAAAATCTGATAACTCCACCACATGAAAAACCCCTCTACGTTAACACAAATTTTACGAAAAATCAAAATAGCTAGTTCAGAACTTCTAAATCGCGAACTCAACGCAAAAACAAAAACTGCAGACCTCAGTTATTTTTTAGAGCATCCAAATCGCAACCGCAAAGGATGACGGAAAAGAAAGTCGATCAATTATGATGAAAGCCGACGAGGAAAAGATCAAAGGATATGGATGTTGAGAACAATAAAAAAGAAAAAGATCACTTTCATAGATATTTTGAAGCAAAGAGGCCCAATAAAAAGGATATCGGAAGAGAAATTGTTCTTCAATCTGATCAGGTAATCTATTTAATGACTTTATTAGAAGAACAACTTAATGAAATCAGTTCAATCATTATCAGATATATTATCTACAAATGAAGAACAACTTAATGAAATCAATTTGAATGAAGTAATGGACTAGAAATTCATAGGAATACCGTTGATGTTAGATGTGGTTACTCGTATTACTTGCTCTATTAACTAGGCACTATTTTGCACCTTTTTAATTGATCTTAGCATATATAGTTATATACGTTCTGGCAACAATTCATGTCACTCATTTGATGTAGCTAGGGTATGAATGCTGTTAGATATAGACATTATATGATTAGTACCATTGGGAAGTGAATAAGAATTTATAAATTGAAGAAGTACTATTTACAAAATTACTGTTACCAATATGTAAGATGTGAAGAATTTTTTAATGGAAGAAGTAATGTTTCAAGAGATGAATAAGCAAAACTTTTGAGGAGTTTCATAATATATCAATCAGTGCATAATGAATGCTTAGATAAGGTAAAACTGGATATGCTCACTATAATGGCAAATTACGAGTGCATAAATGTAAATCGGAAGTCTTTGAAATGTCCACGAATCTGCATCCATATGGTATATTCACCTTTGTGGGTTTTACTTTTGCATCACAAATATAGCCATTTAAAAGTTTCCCAACTCTTATGACAACTTTTAATGTATATATTGTCTGTAATGTATATATTATATTTTCTTCATGCTACAAAAGTTGGTTATGTCATCTCTCTAGTTTATTGCCTTTACAATCAAATTTTTATTGAGACACTTTCATCAATTTGAAAAAAAACGTACTAAAAAGCATAGCAAGAACTATAGAGATTAGCTAGAGTATAGATGGTTGGGGGAGTACTTTTAACTGCTTGTTTATGTTTCTTGATTATTATTGGATTATACTTGAGCAGATGGAGGCCGGGAAAACTCTAAGATAAATTACAATGTAGTCTTTATATATATATATATATATATGTGTGTGTGTGTGTGTGTGTGTGTGTGTGTGTGTGTGTGGAGCATTATTGAATGGGAGGAATGGGTGCATGACATGAGAAACTAGATGAAGCTTTTGATGAAATTGAGAAGCTCAAAATAGAGGATAAAATCAAAGCAGAAGCATGCAAGAGTTTCTAAAGTGCTTATTATGAGCAACTAATCAGTTTGAGACTTTAAGTTATGAATTGGCTAAAACCACACTATTGTTCAATGCAAAAGTAAAAGTGGCATTGAATTAGTGCCCAACAGTCCATAACAGGATGGGTATGTACAACATAAACTTGATATGTTCAATTCCTTTTAACCGGTTAAAATGCTATAGAAATTAATATGTTGTCATGTTGCAGGTGGAATTGTGGGATGTTTGTGATAAAAATTGTTGTGTTTCGAATGCTTGATTGGGAAGCTATTCAGGTTTGAAAGGATGGCATGGAGATAAACCGAGAAAAGATGACAACGGAACCCCTTTTATATGCATCAAGAAAAAATAGCTTTACTAAATGGTTCTTGTCATATGTATCATATACAAGCACATTTGTGGTGGTTAATATGTAATTTGACACTTCTATATGTATTTTTTGCACATCTGTTTCATGTTTGGACGTATTTAAGTGGTTAAGTTTGTACTGATGCAATTAAACCTTTTATATTAAGACTCATATTAATGTCTATTTTATGCCATAATGTAGACATTAAATTCTATTTAATGTCATGTATTTTTTGTGTTACAAATCAAATTCCAATTGCAACCACGTACATCTTCTTTTATAGTCAAATTATTTAAGAAAGAAGTTTTAAAAGTACATAAAATGCTCAAGTTCAAAAACAAGACATGAACATAACAGAAGAACAATTTCAAATTCATGTGCAGAAACTTGAAAATAATAGAAGAACAAAAATTTCTTGGTTGGTCATTAAGCGTTGTTCCAAAATATTGGTGACAGTTGATTTTACTATATGTAATCTTCTTTTTTAGTGGCATATCATTTATCAAATGCTTGGTCACTCTTATTCAGTGTTGAGTTGATTTATCATTCTGGTTGAAGTAAGCAATACAGTCCATAAGTAGACAGTAAAAAGTCCTTAGTGTCTCAAGCGTAGAGATTAAATTTATTCAGACGTAAATATAAGTACAAACTTTAGTACAAAAATAAGAAGCAACATGAAATTTGATAGATTCAAATGTTGAAATGAAATTTAGATATATTTCTCATGCATAGGTACAATACAAATCACATGAATATGAATATAAAGATCTATACATTTCTTTTGAAGCTAAAAATAGACTTATGAGTACAATCAACAGATTGTTGTGTTCGATCAGCACTTCAGCAGCCTGCCAGCCTCATGTCTTCAATTAGCACTTCAGTAACCTCCTGTCTTCAATTAGCAGACGTGTACGACATGTTGGTGGTACCTAGTGGGAGTACAATAACATTGTGTCCAATTCTCAACACCTATCTCATACAAAGCTTCGGGAGATTTTTTTCAACAACTTCAAACTCATGCGCAGTAACCTAAAATGCATATATCAAAGGAAATAACAATAAGTAAAAGTCTTTATGAAAAATAAATAAAAAACAATTGTGAATAATAGTCCTAAAGAAGTAATTAATTTACCAAGATTAATGAGGGCTCATGGAAGGTACAAAGCTTGGCCTCAAAATGTTTAGAGAGGATAGTTTTATTTATTTCTAGCTTCCTGCGAGGAAAACAAACTAAAAGTCTCACACACTTATTGTATGAATTAAAATGAAAGTGACAGGACATTATGATTTGTGAATTTGAGAACAATGAACTTAAATAGAATTCCCGCAAGACTTCAATTGTGTCCTCATTTCTTACACCTTGAACATTGATGCAACTATATATACTAGCTGAATGTATACACTGCTTTTTGTATCTAAGGGTTGGCGTGTGAGACATTTAGATGAGTTGCACGTTATGAACTATATATAATTAGGAAACTTCCAATGAAAGCAAGAATAAATGGGGTGCACCAGCCACACTATAAATCCTTGAGATGTAATCATATCAATACAATCCTTGACTTTGACTCACAGTTCCAACGCCATGAAAACTTATGGACTATTCGAGGCAAAACTCACAACGGGAACATACTTTGTTTTTAGATTAACAAAATCAAACTTGCAAACACTAGACAATACATAGACAGTAAGTAGTCAGTAAATAGACAATAAGTTGCGATAATACCAGAATAGCAGAGAAGGTAACAGGAATTCCCTCAACTGACAATTGCAGGCCTATCACTTACGTGAGTAAGGTCTTGCTTAACCAACATTTTTTCAAGAGAGACTTCATGGACGCACTCTTTCATTTGTGTAGCCATAGAACCTATTAAGAGAGAACTCTCAAAATCAGCTCAAGCACAATCGTGATACACTCGATCATCTCAGCTCAAGAGATATATACACATCGAACCAATTTATTTCATCTGCCTTTTATAGGAGACAATGGTAAAAGGGGTAATCCAAGATAGAAATCAGTATATGTCAAGATAAGAAGAGATAGATGATGAATGTGAAACATAGAAAAACCAACCCAATTAAATCGGGAACTGATCGAATTAACTGAGAGCTGGCGAACAATCCATATGCTTCAGAACAATTCGTGGACCATACGAGCACGATCAGATCTGGAGAAGTGAGTGCGGATCTGGACGAAATAGATCACAAAATAGATCCATATATAAGGTATTTATGTCTGAACAAACGTGTGAAAAAACAAATAATAACACAAACAACAACAAAATAGTAATAAAAACTAAACTAAAGGTTATAAGAACAAAAAACATAACAACAACAACAACATCCAAGCCTTAGTCCCAAAAGATATTGGGGTCGGCTAACATGAATCGATACATGATATCACAACCAAAAGGAAAAGAATGAATAAAGATAAAAAGATAAGCTATTATGAAAAGATCATATAAAAAAGATGAATATATATAGAAATGATAAAATAAAAAGGCTGTAAATAATGCATATATATAAGGATAAAAAAACTAGGAAAAAAAGATGAGGGAAAAAGATTATCAAGATCACTCCTTCACGTGAATACCCGCCCTCCACTTAGTTCTCTCCAAAGTCATGCCTTCATCCAACCCCAGAAGAAGCATATCACTTCGAACTCCCCTAACCCACGTCTGTTTGGGTCTTCCTCTCCCTCTCTTCCCTGCCTCTTCTCCACACATCTCAACTCGCCTAACAGGTGCATCACTCGGTCTTCTACGCACATGACCAAACCACCGTAGGCGCGACTCCCGCATCTTGTCTTCAATAGGTGCTACTCCCACCCTTTGTCTGATTGTCTCATTCCTCATGCGGTCCTTCCTAGTATGCCCACACATCCAACGCATCATGCGCATCTCTGCCACACTCATCTTCTGAATGCGACATTGTTTCACCGCCCAACACTCTACGCCATACAGTAATGCAGGCCTAATTGCTGTCCTATAAAATTTACCCTTCAGTCTAGTCGGCATACCTCGGTCGCATAGAAATCCTGACGCACTCTTCCACTTATCC